GGAGATCGTCTGGGGCTCGACTGGCTCGCTCCTGCTCTTCTGCGGCCGCCAGCTGCTTCTTCGCTGCGAACAAGAGTTCGCAATCATCGTCGAGCTGCAGCTTGCGGAGTGCCTGCAGAGCCTTGCGCGCCCGCCCGACGTGGTCCACATCTTCGGCTGCGGTGGAGCCGACCGACGCGGCGTCGCGGGCCGAGGCAGGGCGTCTGGCAGCTCCCGCCGGGGCAGACCGCTTGGTGCCCTGCTGTGGGGAAGTCCATCCCTTTGGAGCAGGGCGGCCTGAGCGATCACGGCCGCAGCGATAGCAGCGATCGTTGTCAGGAAAGTTCCTGTGGAACCCGCACTGGCGGGTCGCCACACACGCCCAGCGGCTTTTGGGGCCCTGGGAGCCATCTCGTGGGGCGCCCTTGCCCATGGAAGGCTGGGGCACCTCTGAACCATGGTGTCGACCAAGGAGACGTGCGGCGCGATGTACCCGAAGCAGGAGTCGGGCAAGGCCTCCCTTCTGTCGCAAGCGCCTGTGCCACCCTGAGGAGGGTGGCCTGCATCTCCTCCTCTCTCGCGCCGCGGGAGGGGCAGGCACCAGAGCCTCCTCGCCAGCAGCGGCCGCCAGGCCGCCCAGCGGCGGCGGCGTCACGCCAGGCAAGCAACGCCTGGCTGGGGGTTCCCGCATGGCGGCGCCGCCCTGCGCGCCCCCGCAGGCAAAACGGCTGCAGGGGGGCGAAGGGGGGCGCAGGAGGAGGAGGAGGAGGAGGAGGAGGAGGAGGAGGAGGAGGAGGAGGAAAAGGAAAAGGAGGAGGAGGAGGAGGGAGTCGATGGGGAGGCCAGGAGGACGAGAGAGCCGCAGCACGCCTGACAGCCAAAGGTGCCAAGAACGTGTAGACAAGTGTACAGTGTGTGACAACAGATGAAGCGCAGCTCGAGCCAAGCTGGCTTCCTTCGTGCGCGCCCACTGCTGCCGCCCTGGTTCAACACCATCACCATCAATCTCAACACCTCCTCCTCCCTCCTCCTCCTCCTCCTCCTCCTCCTCGTCGTCCTCCTCCTCCTCCTCCTCCCCCTCCTCTACACGCCTTGGCTGTAAGTTCCCTCGCCCTCTCGAACCTCCGTGGAACCATCACCATCAACCTCAACACACCTACGATTAAGTCGGGCGTGTCCCTCTACAGGGGGATTTTCGACGAAGCATTAAAATTCCCATAAATACTCCAACATGATCAACAAATGCTCCAAAAGTGGTCCCCATACTGTTATGTTTTGACTATATTCGAATACTCCTCCTGTGGAGGGACAAGCCCGACTTAAAACCATCACCATCAACCTCAACACACCTACGATCGTTCGGACGCCCTGGGCAGATGTCTCGGGTCGGCGCCGCACCCGCCTCCCAAGAGAAGAACAAGCGGCGCCTCTCGCGCGTCTTCATCATCACCACCACCACTGGCATCATCATCATCATCATCATCATCATCAGCATCATCATCATCATCATCAGCATCACCATCATAATCATCATCATCGTCAGCAGCATCATCACCAGCATCAGCAACATCATCATCAGCAGCATTAGCATCCCCATCCTCATCATCATCGTCATCATCACCACACCATCATCACCATCATTGTCATCACCATCACCATCACCATCACCATCACCGTGGTCGTCGTAGTCACCACCACCGTCGCCCCCATCGTCGTCATCATTACATACGCAGGACGAAAGTTTTTCTTCTTGAAAAGAACATGGCGATGATGAGTTCGACAGATAACATCGGCGCCGGCGAACGGACGGCGCCTGGACGAGCTGCACGCAGCTCCTCCAGGAAGGGAGAGATGCGTTCCTGCTGCGGGGGCCCCCCGCGCGCGGAAAGCTGATGGCAGCGCGCGAGGCAGACAGCACAGGACCCATTCTGGGACGCTGACGACCGGACCCCCCTTCCACCGTATAATCTTAACTGAAGGGGCCCCAGGACACACAAATAAATACACACAAACGAAAATATTCCCCATATGTTCCTATATTTTCTGGGTTTCTGTCTTCCCCCCCACTTCCCATATTTTCCCATATGTTCTGGGGGATCGAGGATTAATGGTGTCCGTGTGTTTCTTTTCCTCCTGATGAGCACGGGCAGGTTCCGGGGCCCGCAGATCCGCTTTCGTCCGGCAAAATAAATAAGTGACTGGGCCCGCCGTGAAAAAAAAGGCCGGGCGCGGATGCAAAAAAAAATCCGAGATCGGATCCGCGCGGACGGAAGTCGGATCCACCGAAAGAGGCACCAGAACCACCATCGGACCCGCTCGACCTTCGTGGGGTCCGACGGCGGTTATCCCACACGCGTCTGCTCAAGACTTCAAGCCGCCGTGCCGGGCCCAAGACGAAAAAAAAATCGCCCTGTGGATGTATCATCATCATCACCACCATCATCAACAACAACATCAACAGCATCGTCATCGTCAACGTCATCGCCGCCGTCATCATTGCGTTGAACTTTCGCTCCGTGGGTTCGCTGGCCGCTGCATCCTGGCTCTACAGCGCCTCACTTTTTCCACCACCAATCTGCATGACTGTGGCTGGATTATTTCATCATTGCTCGTTCGACTAAGCTCGTTCGCAATTGGCATCTCCACCTGCCGACCGCGCCTGAGGCTCCTCTGCGCCGCCGACTTAAAAGTGTGTGTGTGTGTGTTTGTCTGTGTGTGCGCGTGGTGTGCGTAGGGGCTGGCTACTTCACTTTTCTTCTGGCGCGCCCGCGTCGGAAACTTCTTTGAGCTGCGTGGCGCCACGCCCGCCCGCGGACGACCGAAAATGCGTGTGTGTGTGTGTGTGTGTCTGCTTATTTCTCTTTCTCTCTCTCTCTCTCCCTCTCTCTCTCTCTCCCTCGCTGTCTCTCTCTCTCTCTCTCTCTCTCTCCTCTCTCTCTCTCTCTCCTTTTCTCTCTCTCTCTATACCTCTCTCTCTTTCTCTCCTCCCTCTCTCTCTCTCTCTCCTCTCTCTCCTCTCTGCTTGTTTTGTATTCTTTTTCTCTCTCTCTCTCTCTCTCTATTTTTCTCTCTCTCTCTCTCTCTCTCTCTCTTGCTCTGCTGAAGTTTGTAATACTGCCCTAACGCATCGCACTGGTTCCTGGTTATCCCTCCCTTTCCCCTCTCCAGTTTGGTTTTTGCTCGTCAGGTGTCGATCCCCTTGCTCTCAATCACGCTGAAAAGCGTCTCTCGAACTTTGCTCACTGCTCTGCAGTCTTTCTTGTGCGAGCGCAGGCTTCTGGACCCTGCGGAACCTGATCGAATTGCTCAAGTGTCGGTCGTTTGGGACGGGCGTCCTGGAAGGCTTGACACCAATGGAAATACAGTGCTCTCATAAGTCCTGCGGCCGCTCTCACTTGCTGCACTTGTCATCCTGATTGGTGTATTGTAGGAAGCCTGCAGCCTGCAGCCTCCTCCTCCTCCTCCTCCTCCTCCTGCTCTCCTCCTCCTCCTCCTCCGCCTCCTTCTCCCCTCCTCTAACCTCCTCCCCTATTTGCCCCCCCCCTCCCCCCCCCGTGGTGGAGGGGAGACGACCTTCGCCCTGCTGTTCCTCCTCCTCCTCCCCCTCCTCCTCCTCCTCCTCCTCCTTTTCCTCCTCCTGCTTCTCCTGATTCCCCCCACCCCCTCTCGGTCCCCTTTTGCTGGAGGGGAGACGACCTTCGCCTTCCATTCCTTTTCCTTATACGTAAATCCTCCCTGGCACACCCCGAAGCCAATCGAAAGGGAGGGCCTGGCGTTTCGCCTGAGACTTCCTCACCGCTTGTGACCCTGAATATGCAAAGCTGACAACAGTTTCACAGATGAAGGGCGGGTGGTGTTCAAAATGTGGCTCTCGCCTTAGACGCGCATTTTCGTTCTAAAAGTATGCGAGAGTTTCACTGGTTCCCAGTGTTAATGAACCACGGTGTTCTGGACCGATTCACGATTGTCAGGGCATAGCAGTTACGCTGATCCGCGGTGCTGAAGTCCCAGGAATGCTGTTCTGGCACGACTCAGGATCGCCAAGACCTCAGAATCAGGTTAACTCGTGGCGTTGAAGTCCTGAGAATGGTGCTCTGGTGCGCTTCAAGATTTTTACACGGCTGTCCCCCAAGGGGCCTATGAAGAGGGAGCGTGGGGGGAGGGTGTATTCCAACATTGTTGATGAAACTTGGGCTTACACTGATCCTCTTCCTCCTCCTCATCCTCTTCCTCATCCTACTTTTCTTTCCCTCCCTCTCCCTCGCCTCCCGCCTCTCCTCCTCCCTTGAACCCCATATGGTGGTGGGGAGACGGCCTAGGCCCTCCTCCTTCATACCTGCTCCGTATGAATAACTCCTCCCCGTCGCACCCCGAAGCCGGTCGAAAGGGCCGCTTCTGATCCTGAAGCTAAGAAATTGCAGCATTTTCACGGATGGAGGGTGGGTCGCTTTCAAAATGTAGCTCTCGCCTGAGCGCCGCGCACATCCGTCTTACAAGTTTGAAAAAGCTTCGCGGATGGATGGCGGTTCCATTCAACATGTGGCCCTCTTAACGCCGCACGCATTCGTCTTAAGAGTTCGCAGCAGGATCAAGGATTATCATTGTTACCGTTTCAAACACAACGTGTTGGCACGATGTCGAGATGTCAGGGCGTAACAGTCACGTTGATTCGCGGTTTTGAAATTCCAAGAATGATGTTCTGGCGAGATTCTTGATGGTCAGACGCAACAGTAGCGGTGATTCGCGGCGCTGCAGTCCCAAGAATGGCGTTCTGGTACAATTCCTAATTTCCGCATGGTTGTCTTCCAACCAGGTACTTCCCTCAGTTAAAACGAAATGAACCTTTCAAAGACCTGTGAGGAGCGATTTCGGAGGGATGGTTCATTGCAGTACCGTCAACGATCTTGGTTTTTTACTGGTCCTCCTCCTCTTCCTGGTTCTCCTCCCTCCCTCTTCCTCCCCTCCCCTCTCCCTCTAGGCATTTCTCCCTCTGGTCGTCCTTCCCGGAGGGGAGGCGGCAC